GTATGATTCTATTTTAATTTTTAGATTCGTCTTTTCTATTGGTATATTGAACAAATTTATTCCAATTCATTAAACGATAATGAAAATTAAGTTTGTTCTAAATTGGTTGTATGTATCAATATACAGTAGTCTATTCGAATCATTAAACAAAAGAAAAGAGTTCTTTTTATTTCTAGATTCGTTTTGTGCAACGATATATTTGGTGAGCATATTTGAGTTATTAAATAAAAATAGAATCTAATCCTGTTTTTAGATTTCTTTTCTATATCACTATATCAAGTGAGCTTCTTCAAATTGCTAAACAAAAATAAAGTTTAATCCTTTTTCAAGATTCGGCCTACATATCAATTTATTAGGAGAGTAAATTAGAGTTATTAAATGAAAAATAAAATTTAATTTATTTTTAGATTGTTTTTATCTATCGATGTATCCAGTGAGCGTATTCGAATCATTCAACAGCAGTAAAGGTTTTCTTTTTTATTTCTAGATTCATTTTATGTAATCATATATCCGGTGAGTGTATCTGAATTATTAAACTAGAATAAAGCTCATGTTGTTTTTAGATACATTTGTGTCGATACTTCGGTTGAGTTTGTTCAAAGTATTTAACAAAAGTTAAATTTTATATTTTTTTAAGATCTGTTCTACATATTGATATATTGGGTAAGCATAGTCGAAATAATAAGCAGCAGCAAAGATTTTATTTTTTATTTTTAGGTTCATTTTATGTAACGATGTATTCGACGAGTGGAGACGAATTATTAGGTAAAAATTAGATCTGATGTGGTTTTTAGCTTTGTTCTATCTACCAATATATCGAGTGAGTTTGTTCAACTTATTAAACAAAAGTAAAATGTAGTATGATTTAGATTGTATATATTACAATATTTTGGAAGTGTATTTCAATTATTAAACGGAAAAAATGTCGTTAACTTTAGATTCGTCCTATGTATCGATAAATCGAGCAAGTTTGTTCAAATTATTACACGACAGTAAGATTTGTCTTTTTTTAGAATTGCTTTATGTATTGATATATCAGGTGAGTGCAATCGTCTTATTAAACAGTATCAAAGACTTTTTTTTCTATTTCTAGGTTCATTTTATGCAACAATGTATTTCGTGAATGCAGTTGAATTAATAAGCAAAAGCCAAACCTGATGTTAATTTTAGATTTGTTCAATGTATCGGGATATCTAGTAAGTTTGTTCAAACTGTTAAACAAAAATAAATTTTAGTTCTTTTTCTAGATTTGTCTTACATATCAATACATCAGGAAAGTAAGGGAGTGCTTCAAAATATATTATGGTCAGTTGTTCGTTACCCGTTCATTCCTTTTTCTCAATACTCCACTATTCCAGTATTCCTATATTTTTTCTCTATTCCGTCCCTGTTCCTTCACTATTCCTGTGTTCCTTTATTTTCCATTCACAAGTTCGTTTATTTATCTATTCTTTTATATGTTCGTTTCTCTACGTTTCTATCACAGAGCATTTGATTCTGTACCACTTTTTCGTTCAAAAATGACCTTTTCTTTTATTTCACATCTTTAAAGATGGTTCGTTACTCTTTGAAAATATTAATCACCCATCAATCTGTCGATTGCAAATCACAAAAAGTAACATCCATTTTGTGCAGACAAATTTTAGTGTGAGAATATTCGAATGCTCGTAACAAGAAAAACTTCTGATTAAAATTGAAATCTTATTAATTATTTTCTAACCTGTCTTTAGCAATTTTAACTGTTGACATGTATGTCTTTACTTTATTTGATTAGTAATTACAGATTAATGAATATCAATAGTTTAAGCTATTGAATACTAGAAAAAAAGAATATTATTTCCTTTTTTTATTAGGAAACTTTCTTTTTATAAGCACTCAAATAGTCTCACACTAAAATTTGTTTACACGTAATAGATATTTCGTATTTCGATCTCAAATCGATAGATTGATGGGTGAATAATACTTTCAAAGAGTAATTAATCATCTTCCAAGACATGAAATAAAAGGAAAGGCCACTTTTGAATGAAAATGTGGTGCATAATCAAATGTTTTGTAATAGAAATCGAGAGAAAAGAATAAATAAAAGACTAGATAAATGAAGAAATTGGGGAATGAGGAATAGGGGAAAAGAGGAATAGTGAAGAAACAGGAAAGACATGCAGAAGGCATATAGGAATGATGAAATAGCGGAATGGTGGGGAAAAGGAATGAAGAAACAATGACCAATCGATCGGAATATATTTGGAACCATTTCCTTAACGAAATCAAATGTTTTTTTTTATTTTTAGAATTGTTTTATTTTTGAATGTATGTGGTAATTTGATTTGGATTACTGAACAAAAATAAAATTTTTAAAACTCTACGAATGGTTACGTGTATCAATGGATTCGGTGAGTTTCAATGAATTAAATTGATGGAAAGGCATTTTGATTTTGACTTTTTAGGTCAGTATTGCAGTGGTACGCTTTGTGGCTGATGAGATTGACTTAGTAACTATTATGGGTACGCGAGTGTTGGTTTAGATTTTCATAGGTGCTTATAAGTTTTGATGGTTTTATCACATTAAGAAATGTAGTGAGTTCATATAATGTTTCACAGAAAAATTTTCTTTTCTTTCGTGTTTTAGGTCTGGAAGTTGGTATGGTTCAGCCTCCATTGGTTTGGTAATGCCGGAAGGATGGGCAGTAAGATAATCAACGTTTCTCTGTAGATTCCGAATATTTCCCATTTTGGATAGTGGCCGCAGCTATTTCTAGATGCGGATAGATCTACAGAAGTGCCTCATAGAATATCTGGGATTGCTTTGCATGCTTGATGCTGCTAGTAGAGTAGTAGTGGCATTCAATCTAACCCAGTTAGGTAGAGTTTTTCCTGAATTCGGAAACCTTTGTCTTTGGGTTTTCGAATGAGAATCCGAGGTTTTTGTATAATGTATATTTTGGGTTTCCGAGGTCTCTGAAACCCTTCTTCGGAAACCGTTAAAGGGTTTCCTATAGTAACAAACTCGGAAACCCTCTTAGGGTTTTCGAGTATACCTATTTTTTTTAGAGTGTAGTTTAATTCAATATACCAAGATTTTTATTTTTATTAAGGTAATCAATTCACAACAGAAAATTGCAATATTAACTATACTGAAATGAGAAACGGATGAAACTGAACTGAAAGTCTGTTGAATGAGGGTGTGGGTGGGTGTGGGTGGGTGTGGGTGGGTGCACTCTAAGAAAAATCCGTCGTGTAGGAAGCCCTTAATGGGTTTCCGAACTTGTTACTATCGGAAACCTTTTAAGGGTTTCCGAGAAAAGGTTTCCGAGCACTCGGAAACCCTACATTAGCATATTTTACTACCACAACACACCAACCATCGGAAACGCATTAACTGTTCCCGAGCAGGTTCCAGAACAAGTAGATACATTACTTCGGTCAATTAAAATAACCCTTACATGAGCCACAAAAGCCCTCACACTCTCAGCCCACGCATGAATATTAATGCAATTTCATTACAGACCTAAATAAAGAAAAAAGGATCAGATTGAATTTTATTGAAATCAATTGTCTTACCAGAAATTGTAATCGATATTCATATAGACCTAAACAAACAAAAACAAATTAGATTTAAGTTTATATTAATCAGCTGACTTCCCAGAAATTTTAGTGGTTATTCACATAGACCTAAATAAACAAAAAAGAATCAGCTTTAAGTTTATATAAATCAGTTGACGTACCAGAATTCTTCATGGACATTCATATAGACCTAAATGAAGAAAAAACAATCAGATTTACTTTTATTGAAATCAGTTGACTTACCCAAATTATCAATGGACATTCACATACACCTAAATAAACAAAAAACTAGATTTATAAAGTTGATATAAATCAGCTGATTTACCCGACATTTTAATGGTTATTCATATAGACCTAAATAAACAAAAACAAATTAGATTTGAGTTTATATAAATCAATTGACTTCCAGAAATTGTAATCGATATTCATATACACCTAAATAAACAAAAAGAAATTAACTTTAGGTTTATATAAATCAGTTGACTTACCAGAATTATTGATGGACACTCATATAGACCTAAATGAAGAAAAAACAATAAGATTTACTTTTATTGAAATCAGTTGACTTACCAAAATTATCAATGGACATTCATATACACCTAAATAAACATAAAAAACTAGATTTATAAAGTTGATATAAATCAGTTGACTTACTCGACATCTTAATGGATACTCATATACATCTAAATAAAGAAAAAAGAATTAGCTTTAAGTTTATATAAATCAGTTGACTTACCAGAATTAGTAATGGACATTCATATAGACCTAAATAAACAAAAAGAAATTAGATTTAAGTTTATATAAATCAATTGACTTACCTGACATTTTAATGGATATTCATATACACCTAAATAAAGAAAAAAGAATTAGCTTTAAGTTTATATAAATCAGCTGACTTACCAGAATTAGTAATGGACATTCATATAGACCTAAACAAATAAAAAGAAATTAGCTTTAAGTTTATATAAATCAGTTGACTTACCAGAATTAGTAATGGATATTCATATAGATCTGAATAGACAAAAACAAATTAGATTTGAGTTTATATGAATCAATTGACTTACCTGACATTTTAATGGATATTCATATAGACCTAAATAAAGAAAAAAGAATTAGCTTTAAGTTTATATAAATCAGTTGACTTACCAGAATTAGTAATCGACATTCATGTAGACCTAAATCAGGGGTGGCATTTCTCATTTTTTAAATGGGTTTACAAAAGTCAAAATGGGGTACATTTGGGGTACATTCCAATTTAAAAAGGGGTACATCAATGGGGTACATGATTTTAATCCTGAAGTAAAGTATTTAATTGAGAAACCTGCTGAAACGACACTGCTTTTGTAGAGAACAGAATCATATTTCACTGTTGTTTTTCAATTAGATAGGCTTAACTGTTTACACTGTTTCAATTAGCTTTGTGTTTATTGATTGTTGAGTTTGAAATTGGAAAACAACATTAGGAACCATCTATGAAAGACGTAAAGCGGACTGAGGCTATCAGTGAAATGCGGACATACGAAGAATCATCGTGAATTTTTCAATTTTTCTGCATCGATTTCCATGGCGCTTTCATGCTTCGCTTGTTTTTGTTTCAATAGAATTTAGGCTTCAAAAAACTCTAGATTAAATAGCATTTGCAGCTAGCTATATGATAAAGTGGGTAGATTTTTGACGGTCATGAAAAATAAAATTGTTCAATCTATATTTTCCCTATTTCATACTCTTTAGAATTTGATATGCGTACAGAGTGCATATGTTCCAATAGATTGCATTTTGACTAAATGCTTTTTACTCAGTTCCGTTTTCGATTCGTAAAAAAGGAGAGAACTGCATGCTAAAGACTAGATTTCATCAGGAAACCTGTTTGCATGAATTTTGTATAAAATTTTTCTTTAATCTGCTACTTGAATAACTTTATCACTGATCCATCAATCATATAGATTATTCTACGACTGATATGCTGGCTAAATTAACTTAGAAGATTTATTCAGGCAACAATATTTTTTCAAAAAATTTTCTGCTTCTGACGTTTACTGAAGGTAGGCTTTCCAAGAACTTGACAGCACTGTATCGGCGATAGACAACTGTAAATGATGCAACTTTTACCTGGACACCCTTCACGAATAACTCTAATAAATAGACAACGAAGATTCCCATCAAATTCATTAAAGAGAAAATCTGCAATTAGAGATATATCTAATAGAATATGTATTTGCCAAATAAAAAAGAAAAATTAATGAAACACGGAGAAATCAGATAAGGAGAAATGTTTAAGTCTTATTTCGGTGTTTATAACGATAATAGTATGAACAACCAAGTATTTCAATCCGACACTGAACAAAGCAGATGAAGAAATCTATCGACCATTTGTTAACTGATACTTTTTTAGATAGATAGAAGTGAAAAGACTAGTGGGAAAACACACTTTCTTTACCTTGATATGGTGTTTTATCACATTCCAGACTTAAAAATCGAAATGGGGTACAAAATATGTACCCCTGGGGTACGAAATTTTGTGGGGTACAAAATGTCGAAATGGGGTATTGTACCCCAAAATGGGTACGGTTGGCAGCCCTGACCTAAATAAAGAAAAATAAATTAGATTTAAGTTTATATAAATCAATTGACTTACCCGACATTTTAATGGATATTCATATACACCTAAATAAACAAAAAGAAATTAGTTTGAAGTTTATATAAATCAGTTGACTTACCAGAATTAGTAATGGAAATTCATATAGACCTAAATAAAGAAAAAAAATTACATTTAAGTTTATATTTATTGAAAGCTATGAACTGCACATATATAATCAAACATGTTGCATGAAAGCCCTAAGTGCTTTCGATTCTCTAAGAATTCCAGAAATGAAGAACAGAATCATGATCCAAACATAAATTTGAAACGCGAACTTTCTGCATTGGAAAAATTGTTGTGCTCTAAAACGCTTTAGAAACTCATTGTGAAAGTTTCCAAGCCTAGAAAGTGTGCAGTAGTTAAGTGAAGTTGGAAAGCTGATTTCTGTTTTTCACTATACCTTTTCGAATTTCAGAAACCATTTAAGTTTCCGGGAAAGCCATTCGAAAACGCTTTTGGTTTCCGAGAAAGTGATTCGGAAACCGAAAGGGTATTCTCGGGTACCACTTAGGATTTTCGAGCTTTCGAAATCTTTTTAGGTTTCCGAGAAAGTAGTTCGGAAACTCTTTTTGTTTTCGAGAAAGTTATTCGGAAACCAAAAAGGTATGCTCGGGTACGAGTTAGGGTTTCCGAGCTTTCGGAAACTCTTAAGGTTTCCGAGATAGTGATTCGGAAACTGATAAGGTATTCTCGGATACCTCTTTAGATACCCAAACAACTTTTAGGACAGAATCGGTTTCCTAAGATACCCAACAGGTTTCCGAAAATACTAATTTGGTTTGCGCCAATGATGAAAAGGTATTCCAGAATACCCTACGCGCATCGAATTCGGTACTCTCGAAAACCAAAAGGTTTCCGAAACCTCGGAAACCAATAAGGTATTTTCGAAAACGATTTCGGTGATCGGAAACCCT